CTCTCAGTCGCCCTCATTTTCTTCATCTCACTTTCTCTTACCTCTATCAACCCGACGATCTGACCCGACCCAACCCAAAAATTTTGGGTTGGGTTGGCCACTATGTTCGGTTCCATGATTTGACCAACTGGAAAATTTGGGTTGGTCCAAAAAACTTCTTAAACCCGACCTAACCCAACTTGTGAACACCCTTATAGAACATGATCAATATCCAAAATCAATCATAAAATCCTACATAAGGATTTAAAATTAAATCAATTACTAAGTAAATATTATCTACCCAATTTTCTCATTCAAAACACTTTTATATGTAAAACAATTAGAAAAATATGAATTTAGGACTACAAAACTAGATCAGAAAAACTGAGTTAAGAAGCCTCAAAATTAAAAAATAACAAAATCGGTACTTATCAATATGGGCTAAATTTACAAAAAGTTTCTGGAAAAAACAAGCTTAAAAAGCCTTCTAAACAATTGAAAATTTGGAGATTTTAAATCTGGAAAGTTTTATGTTTTAAAAAATAAAACTTCCAAGAATTTCCACGAAACAATTAACAATTTACTGATTTTTATAGAAAAATCAGATATGTAAAGTGTATAAAAAACCTTTAAAACTGGGTATAAACATACAATTTTTCATGTAAAAATAAAAACAATAAGCCATACCTTATGAGATTCAAATAGGCAAACTTTGTCTAAAAACAGTTTTATAAATAACAAGATTCAAACAAAAAAAATTTGGAAAATTTGTAAGGTAAAAAATCTTCAAAATCTTTTATTTTAAAAACAAAAACCTCAAAAATTTTCCCTACAAAGAACTATATCAAGAAAAAAAGATAAGAAAATACAATAGGAAAGAAAACTTACGGATTTAGAACCATACCAAAATTTTTCATCCTTCTTTTCTTTTTTTCCTCTTGGGAGAAAACTAGGCCTAACCTCTAAAAAAAATATTAATCTAAAGCCTAGGTTTGAAGAACTTTTAAAATAAACCCTAATAAAACATTTTAAAAAAACTAACATAAAAAAGATAAATATTTATCTTTTAATAAAACTCTTTCTAGAAAAAAAAAAAACTAAAAACAAATTTTCTTTTAAAAATTAATTTCTAAAATAAAAGAAAACAACGTATAACAAAAATGTATATACCTCTCTCTCTATATATATATTGGTTGTTACAAATTGCAAGTATATTATAAACTCATTTTAATAGTATATCATATGTATATCACATACATATATCAGTAGTCCGATATATTATAAATATATTATAGATATATTAGAGATATTACGTATATATTACATCGTTTGGGTAAAGTTGTCATTTTAAAATTGGACTTCCGTTTTTTTTAAGAAAAGTGCTATATTTGAAAAAAAAAATCAAATGTGATTGCTATTTTGCTAATTTTACTAAATATTTTTGCCATATTTGCAACTACTACTTATTAGTTTGTATTTCAATATTATAAGATAAAATTTAAAAAAGGTATATTAAATTATATTTTAAATTTCTATTATAATTAAAACTACAATAAATAACTAAGAAAAAAAATTATATATATTATGAAAAATATGGAACCTTTCTAGAATTGAGACCTTAAGCGATCACTCGCTTGGCTATAACTTAAAGCCTAACCCCTGCCTTTATGAAATATTGGTTATGGAATCATTTTCTAGAGAGAATTTCTACTAATTTTACTTCTTAGCTTTTAGGCTAATTGAGATTGGATATCTCGGTATATTTTTTCTAATTTAATACTCAAAAAATTTATGGTGGCATCTACTTAAAATTTAATATSTTTCGTGTTTTGTCTAAATGTAATTGGCTCGAAGACCGATAAAAAATAAAAAATTCAATAGTAAAAAGAAAAAAGAAATAACGGAGAAAAGAAACATTCATGAAATTTGTTATTATTCTTCTTTTTTTTTTTTGAGCAACCATAAATTTATTTTGGCTGTGGGGAAGGCAAAATCAAAATCAAATGTAATGGCTTTATCAAAGAAAAAAAAAAATAATAATAATAAAATGTAATGCCAGCCATGAAATTCGCACGTTAATTTTGGGTTTCTCTCATCACACCACAAGGGTTTAACCTTGAGCCTCTTCTGCTCCGGCTGGCTATCCCCTCTGCCATGGCCGTGCTCTTCACTGCTCCACTCTCACACCCACTTGTCTGAAACCACAGATAAAAGCCCTTAGAACTTTGGGATTTCTCTGGGTTTTGCCCCCAACACTTCAAAACGGCTCCTTCTATAAGCAACTGCGGGGGCAAGCTCGGCAGAGTTGCAGAGATGATGACTTTGGGGGTCTCCACCACCCAAGCCTCTTCGTTGAGAACTTCTTGGCCTTCATATTTCTTTCTATGGCGCTCCAATTCTGTTTCTAACTCTTCTATATCCATTTGCGCCTCCTCCAAGGCTCTGTACAGGTGACTTTTCTCTTGGGTTAATTCTTAACTGGAAGCTTTCTCTCATTTTCCTGTTTTTGTTTTACATTTTGTTTCTAATGGGGGGTTTGGGGAGAACATTTCGCCTTCTACATACTGCAAAACGTGACTAGTCATGTCGGGAATTTTGTTTCTCTACATGGGAATTTCTTGATTTTCTTGTTTCTGTGGTTGTTGGTCATTTCCAGACTCCGGACTTCTATTAAATTTGAAACTGCGAAATGGGTTTCTTTCCCTCTATATGTGGGGAAGAACGTGTTTGGTGCGTGTAATTTCTAAAAATTTTTAGTTATTATCACGACGATTGCTGCAAACGAGAGTTCGTTGTTAACTTCCCATTCAGTTCAGGAAGAACATTATTAGTTGAATAAGGATTGAGACTTTGAATATGGTAGCGGTTCTTGAATATGAGTTGAGGCTTTTGAATTCAGGTTGGTTGGAATAATGATGATAAATGGTATATGAACCACACATTGTTTAATTATGAGACAGTTATAATTTCATTAGTTCATACACACTATTCACATTGGGGAGTCTATTGAGAAATAGTAGAAGAGCTTAAAAGTTTCTGTAATTTCTTTATTTTCTGTAATAAGCTATAATAATATGGAGAGCGTAATTGGAAGTGAAGATAATTTTTGGGACTGCTACCAGGCTGTAGCTTTCTTCATGATAAAGGTATGACAATGTCCTGATATATTTAATTTTCAGTGAGGAYGGTTCATGAAGTGGTTTTTGGTTGAAGTGGAAACTGACTAAGGAAGAGTTAAATAGCTTTTTTTTAAGATGATTTCACTCAAGAAATAATATATAGGTTATTTTTCTAGGCTGTACTTTATCTGGCAAAACTTCAGGTCTTTTTTCCTATATCATTTTATGGTCCACAAAATTATTTCATATTATTTGATTTCATCAACGAGGAGGACATTTCCTTTTTATATGAGTGTGATTGATACATAGGGAAATATGAGTAGGCCTCTATCAGAAGCGATACTGGTAACTTTATTGAGTCATCCATTCTGTTTTATATTGTTTGTCTTACATTTCAGAGCATATTGATCAATTGTATGAAGGGGAATATGGTTGTGGAAAGCTTCAATCTGATTCTTAATGTTTCTGAACTGATTCTTTTACAGGTCTGAATTTAGCTCCATGAAGAGTGGTGATGGTGCGTCTCCAACTCTGAATATGTTTCATGCTTCAATTCAGTGTAGAAAAAGTTCATTCTTGAGCACCAATTCACTTGTTGAAACTAGACAATATGACAATGAAAGGGCGTTTCTCTCTGATGTAAATGCTTGGTCTAAAAGTACAATGCAGATAAAGCAAGAGAAGCACTTTAGGTTTATGGAATCTGGGATCCTGACAAAGAGTGACGAGGAAAAGCTAAGAAAAATGGAAAATCTCGTTGGCTATGGGACTGCGCATTCTTATAACCGTCCTCAATATTCTAAGGTTCAGTGTTTCAATGCTAATAAGGATTCTGATTGTATAAACCCTGAAACTAATAGGTTATCAGATGGATTCAGGAAACAAGAACCTATGAATTTTGAACGAAGTGTGAGTGCTGCAACTATAGATAGGAAGACAGATAGTGATAGGGGACCTTCTATTAAGACATTCAAGGTTTCACGTGGTGAATGCAATGGTGACATTGATTCTTTTTCTGGGGGCCGGACTATGAACAAGCCTGAAAATAATGATTTGCATAATCAACTTGTTCCTATGCGAAGTAACAAAAGGTATACCATTTCTCAAAATGGAAAGGGATCAATTTCGCATCATGCACCAAATGTTTCTCCTAATGGCAGAAAGCAAAATATCTCTACAGGAAAGGTGAATAATGTACCAAAATCTTTGAAATTTATTGAAGCTTCTAATGAGATAAAGAGAGGTGTGGACGTGGAAGAATTTTCTGAAATAACCATTAATGGAACTGGCACCAAGATGATGGAAGCACAAGCAAATGATCATAAGCCAGATATAAAGGAGAGGCTGAATTCTGTATATGATAGCGTGCTTGTTGTTGATAGTGTATCTGCAGCAAAGGAAGTTGTTTCAATGCTTACTACTAAGTACAAGAATCTTGTGCATGCTTGCGATACTGAGGTGCTTAAATCTAACTCTATTTGCGAGTACCTTTACTGACTTAAAAAATAGGCTCACAGACCAGACCGATATTGTCTACTTAAATGTATAATTTAAACTCAAGTTCTGTCATGCCATGATAGGCACATACCTGTGAAATTGCCTTCAATCCTTTTTTTGTTTTCTTATTTTCTTTAAGGTGGCCAAGATTGATGTGAAGCAAGAAACACCCGTTGACCATGGTGAAATAATATGCTTCAGTATTTATTCAGGACCAAATGCAAATTTTGGGAGTGGAAAGTCTTGCATCTGGGTTGATGTTCTTGATGGTGGCGGTAAGGAAATTTTGCTTCAATTTGCACCATTCTTTGAAGACCCTTTGATCAAAAAGGTAATTCTTTTGGTCTTCTTGGCCCTTTTTTTGGGAGACTACAGTTGGCCGAATTTTTTGATAAAGGAGATTCCTCTTTGAGGCAAAATTGCAGAGAATAGATAAATAATCCATGGACTCACATCCAGCTAAATAGATTGGACACACTGGGGGGAGATAGCCAAAGCTTTTGCTCCAAGATGTTTTCTTTTTAGTATATTGTTAATAGATTGTAAAACTGATAATGTTCGGTATTCTCATACTTATATTTAATGCAAAAGAATTGTATTTCTTGATAAGATTGGTAAATTATTCTGAGTTCTAGGAAACATTTGGCCCATTCATTTGCTTGTAATAGTTAAATTATGAGAATTCTGTGCGTGCATGTGTGTGGTATGCAGTAACTCAGAATACAGTCTGAAATTGACCAAACCTGCCTTTCTATTAGGTCTGGCACAACTACAGCTTTGACAATCACATTATTGAAAATTATGGGATTAAGGTTTCTGGCTTTCATGCTGACACCATGCACATGGCACGGTTATGGGATTCATCAAGGCGAGCTAATGGTGGATATTCCCTTGAAGCCCTTTCTGGCGATGTAAAGGTCATGTCCGGTGCTAAATTGGGCCATGAAAAAGAATTGATTGGAAAAGTATCCATGAAAACTATCTTTGGCCGGAAGAAGATGAAAAAGGATGGATATGAAGGCAAACTTACAGTCATCCCTCCTGTTGAAGAACTTCAACGTGAAGAACGGAGACCATGGGTATCTTATTCTGCATTAGATTCTATATGCACGCTGAAGCTTTATGAGAGCTTGAAAAACAAACTATCTAATATGCCATGGGAGAGAGATGGAGAAATGATTCCCGATAAAACCATGTTCAATTTTTATGAAGAATATTGGCAACCATTTGGTGAACTTCTTGTCAAAATGGAAACTGAGGGCATGCTGGTTGATCGGGCATATCTTGCCGAGATAGAAAAATTGGCCAAAGCAGAACAAGAGGTTGCTGGTAACAGGTTTCGTAATTGGGCTTCAAAGTATTGCCCTGATGCCAAATACATGAATGTAGGAAGTGATGCACAAGTGCGCCAATTGCTCTTTGGTGGCACTCTCAACAGGTAATTTCTATTTTTTAAATAATATTTTTGTTCTTTTTGAAATGTTATTCATTTAATTGGTTTTAATCAGAAATCAGAGATGAAATTATAAGTTATTTACTATTTGTGGACTTGGACATGTACAAGTTGTCAAGCTCTTTATTGTATAGTTTCATGGTACTGCTACCTCTTTCGGCAATTGGCATGTTCCCGATCCTTTGGCCCCAGATATTTATTGATTAAAAAAAAGTTATATATTTTTTTTCCATGTTACAGTAAGAATCCCGATGAGAGTCTTCCAGCTGAAAGGACATTCAAAGTTCCAAATAGTGAAAATGTCATTGAAGAAGGGAAGAAAACTCCTGGTAAATTTCGGAATATTACTTTACAGAGCATTCTGAAGGACAAGGTTCTTTCAACTGAAATGTACACAGCATCTGGTTGGCCGTCAGTAAGTGGGGATGCTCTGAAGATCTTAGCGGGCAAGGTCTCCGCAGAATTTGATGACTTTACTGATGCCCATGATGACTTACAGTCTGATAATGAGGTTGACAATGATTCTGAGACAATGCCTCATGGGGAAAACAAAAAGCCCGTTATTCATGAAAGTGCAAATATGTCTGATTATGGAACTGCTTTTGAAGCATTTGCATCAAAGGAGGAGGGCAGGGAAGCCTGTCATGCCATTGCTGCCTTATGCGAAGTCTGCTCTATTGACTCTTTGATATCAAATTTCATCCTTCCCTTACAGGTGAAAATTTTCTGCCAAGTCCCCATTTATGCCCATTGTTAATATCCTTTTGAAGGAAGGAGGTATTCATAGTTAATGGTGTTTAGCTAATTTTGACCCTGTTAAGAAGAAGTTTAGAAGCTAGGTGTAAATAACTTTGTTTGCTAATTATGACTTTTATATGTGCATGTAGACGTAGGTAATAGGTTTAAGAAAGAATTAATTCAGTGTATTATTTAATGCTTCACTTGATTTAAGCTTCATCGTCTGAAGACTGCATGTTGATTTTGATTGATGGACATAAAGCTCTGAAAGCATTGGAGCCTCCTCTCTCTGAGAAACACCTATCACTTTATGTTAGACTTAAAATTCTTGGCACGATTATTGACTTCTATTGAAATTGGGTACTTCTATCACAGGGAAGTAATATATCTGGTAAGAATGGACGTGTCCATTGTTCTCTAAATATCAATACAGAAACTGGCCGCCTCTCAGCTCGGAGACCAAATTTGCAGGTTCATAGTTTACTTGTATCAACTATACTAGTATTTGGCGCTGAAGAGATTTATGATGATTTCTGTTAAATTATATTTTTATTTTTTAAAATTTCCTATTGTATTTAAGTTAGGGTTTCCTTGTTCTACTAGGTAAGTGTATCCTTATCCCAATAGGCAAGAGTTTTGTATTCTTTTCTTCTTTGTAGCTACTATTTATAGCCTTGTATCAATTCTTTCAAAGTAAGTAAAACTTATTTTGCTTATCAGTTAACAATTTCCATGGAAAAGTAGGTTTGCTTCTTTGGTTAGATAGTGTCACCACATAGCTACTAGATTCTAGATGCTTAGAGCTTACCATTATCACAGAGGAGTTCTAAATCCTACAACAGGAATGACGTAAAATCTTAGGATTATTGCTAGCTTTATTTTGCATAGATTATTTTACATTTAACCCTTTTTGTGTCTGTGTGTTCATCATTTCAGTTCAAAGAGAACTTTTATGTTCATATATTCCTTTAAAACTATGATTATAATGGAGATTTAGGTTGGTTATGTTTCTTCTGTACTAGAATCAACCAGCTCTGGAAAAGGACCGGTATAAGATCCGTCAGGCATTTATAGCTGCACCTGGAAATTCCCTCATTGTTGCCGATTACGGTCAGGTAATTTTTAGTCATAGATGCTTTGCATGGTTCCCGTTATTGATCTGAGGCGATTTGTTCATGTGGTGTGTAATTTAGGTTTGGACACCTTGTGTTCCCCTGCTTTCTTTTTTTTGTCCGCCTTGCTTCAACCATATTGTTTCTTATTTAGAAAGAAAACATTATTGATTGAAATGTAAATTCATTTTGCAGTTGGAACTTAGGATTCTCGCTCATCTGGCCAATTGTAAGAGCATGCTAGAAGCCTTTAAAGCTGGGGGAGATTTCCATTCTAGAACCGCAATGAATATGTACCCTCATATTCGTAACGCTGTTGAAAAAGGAAGCGTGCTTCTTGAGTGGGATCCTCAACCAGGTGAAGATAAACCTCCAGTTCCATTGTTGAAGGTAAACTCTATTCTTCTTGCTGGAAATTGTTGCTTTGAAGTTATAGGAAAACGTGAGCAGATGTGATTGTTTTGATTGGAGTTATTAGGCTTTATTTCCCAAGTATTACAAACCAGAATATTCCTGTATCTTAGTAATCACAGGAAATGGAAATGCCTTATCTTTAACAATGAAATTTGAAGGATCATATCAAAATTTCTCAAACAACGCATGTCAATTGATGTATTTGTATGCATACAAGTATGCCCACTCACATACTAATGTAGGGAGTCGGTGGAATAATCTGTAATTTCTTTATATAATAGTCGCTGTCCTTTTTAGCTGCAGCTTGTTAATTTTAATAGTTGTTGGTTGGTTTGTTTTGTAGTAGTTATGGCGTGGTAGTTAGTTGGATAGTCATTTTAGTGAGTTTGTTTCGTGTTAATTAGGAATCCACCTCGATGGCCTTTTTATTTTGACACCCAAAGATGCAAAGCTTTTCACATGGACCTAATAATGTCTTGGAAGCATCGATACTATATAGAGAGGTGTCTAACACACAAGGCCTTTTTTTGTAACTACAATCTTATGATGTTATTACCAATGTTTTAAAAAGCTATTGAGGCTTACGCATTGAGGCTCACCTTGAGGCAAGGCTCTAACTTTTAGCCTCGAGACTTACGCCTTCTTTGAACCATAAGAGGCTTACGCCTCTCATAGAAGAGGCTTATGCCTCTTTGAAAACGCAGTGAGGCTTAAAGTCCTTACGCCTCGTGTAATGATTAGAACAATATTAGTAATTTGCCCAATTCTTATAAAATATAAAAGTTTTTTTGCATATGGAATACACTGTAGGTGTGCCTGTGTGGTGACGATTCAATCTATCACTACTTTTACTACCTAGACTTTAAAAACATTGGAGATAAATTTTATAGAATAAGTCAATCTTATTAGTGATAATAATACTAGTGATATTGAGACCTTCTTTTAGGATTTTTATTTAAGTGGCAATTAATAGGTGGTCTTTTTTATACTTTTATATAACTATTATGTTTAGCAATACTTGATCATATAAATTTTAGATTTGTTCAATTCTTTTAATTAAAATTGAGGCTTACGCCTCATACCGCCTCGAGGCTTACACCTCGCCTCTTCAAGAGGAAAAGCCTCGAGGCCGCCTTTTGCCTTTTAAAACCTTGGTTATTACGTGATTGGAAAGCTGTTCTTCATTAGTTTTTGTTTGATGGGGGCCTTCTCATCCCCCAGCCTCTAGGCTGTTGCTTCTGCTCTTTATCAATACAATTCTAATAATTCCTGAAAAAAAATATCTATATAAATATATATATATATATCGAGAGGATAGGAGCAATTGAAGATGCCTCAGCCGGAGTATAAACCCAAGTTCGTGTGTTTTTTGTAAGCAGGCAGAGGAAAGTCAAAACCAACGTCTTTTAGGTGTGCCTTTTGAGTCCTAATGTTGGTTACCCTTAAGGAGTTTAGGTGCAATTGAGTGTTCAATAACCCTACTAGAGAAACGTGATGCAGCTACTAATGGGTTTTTCCAAAAGGAAGGTCATTATCTTTGTAGCCAAATGTTATTAATTAAAACAATCTACAACTCAAAAGAAAGCATCTATTATGAAAAGAAAAGATATCTTATTGTCTCACTACATCGATTCCCTCTCTCTAACTCGCTTTATAGTTTAAGATGTTATCATGAGGTATGAAACAAAGAGGCCCATAGCAGAAATTTTAATTCTTGTGATGAAGAAAAACTGATATCGAGAACGATGTTTTTAGTTTTCCAAACCACCAAAGAAGCAGCTGATCAAACCTGAGTTGGCTGCAAATTCATAGAATGGATCCTTGGGCCTGTGGGTTATTGAAAAAACAGAATTGTCTAGCTTACAAAAGTCAATACACACTATTTAAGTTTTCATTCTGAATTCCAGCACGATAATTTCGTAAGTGGGAAAAATGTAGAGATTTACCCAATCGGTCGAACCCTTTGTCTAAGTTCTGAATATATAATTATTTTACTTGGCCCACAAAGAGTCATATCATTAATTTCATTACTAGTTGATTATGTAACTCTTCTAGAATGGAACCCATTGGTCGAATAATGTGTGCTTTTCTTTGCAATTTTGCCTTAATAGTTACTAAAGGTTTCTGCGTTTCAGAAATGCTCTTGTTGAATAAATTGCTCAAGTCCACTTTTAAATGATCTCTTACTTTTTTTTCAACCTCTTTTACGGGAACATTTCGGCTCTCTCTTCTGCAGGATGCCTTTGGTTCTGAAAGAAGGAAAGCTAAAATGCTTAATTTTTCCATTGCATATGGCAAAACCCCTGTTGGCCTTTCCAAGGATTGGAAGGTACTTTCAAAACTAAATTTCGGTCAAATATTCCAAATATCGTAAGTTGCTAATTGGCAGTGGTTTATACCACCATCCAGGTTACTGTGGAGGAAGCAAGGCAGACGGTTGACTTGTGGTATAATGAAAGAAAAGAGGTTCGAATTTGGCAAGAACTTCGAAAGAAAGAAGCCGATGAGAAATCGTGCGTTCGCACATTGCTGGGACGAGCTCGTCGCTTTCCTTCAATGAAGCATGCTACTCGTGCCCAAAGAGGGCATATAGAAAGAGCTGCTATCAATACTCCTGTGCAGGTTTTTTCATTGACTTTCTTTATTGGCTTTTTCTCGTCCCAGTCTCCAATGTTAAACCCGGTTCATGAACGTCGGTCTGTTACAGGGTAGTGCTGCTGATGTCGCCATGTGTGCCATGTTGGAAATATCTAACAATTCAGGTTTGAGGGAACTTGGATGGAGGCTGCTTTTGCAGGTAATTCATCACTATCTTTTTGCAATTTGGTTGCTTATTACCTATTATGATGCTAAGGCTTGTTTTGGAAGACTGTTTTCAAAATACTCTTTTGCTTTTAAGTTATCATGCAATAACCCAACCTTCTGTGTAAATGTGATCTATATAGTTTTTTTCTTGAGCTACCTCTTTCTATAATTATTGACAACTTTTGTCGAGGATTAATAAACAACCGCTCAACCTAAAAGCTTAAGCTAATGAATTGGGTAAATTTAATTCATAGATTGGATATCTAACACTCCCCTTCATTTTGGGCTTAAAAAATTGCACAAGGTCCAATAAGTAGAGATCAATATAATTGGGAAAGAAACAACAATTTAGGGATTCAAGCACAGGATCGCTTGTTTTGATACCATGTTAATTGATAAGAAAAGAAAATAATTCTTACTTACTTTTAAAGGATTAAAGTATTGATACAAGGCGAGCTACGAAGGAGAAAAGGAAAGAAACCCTTGCCTGATAAGAAAACACTTACCATTAGAACAAGGAAACCTAATCTATTAAAATCTAAATACAATAGGAAATTAAAATATAATTTAACAACTTTGTTAAAAGATGTAGCTGTATATAAAATAAGTTAACATGTGGTGAATACCTATAATCCATGGTTAGTAACAAGCATGCATCTTAAAGCCTAGGGGAATTCTTGGTTTGACTTGTTGGCGAAAATCGGCTTAACCAACCTAACAGATCAGGAAACCAACTAATTGATTCAACCAGACCAACAGAAACTGAACCTGATCAAAATATTTTTGGTTTCAAGATTTTTAAATTTGAATACACCAACTTATGTTGGTCAAATTGGTTTGTGGTCCCTCAGGGCTTTCTATATAAATATAAGAAATGCTTATATGAACTAACACTTCTCCTGGAAGTCAGGTCCATGATGAAGTGATCTTGGAAGGACCGACCGAGTCTGCAGAGGTTGCTAAGGCCATTGTTGTCGAGTGCATGTCGAAACCCTTCAGTGGAAAGAACATTCTCAACGTCGACCTTGCGGTGGATGCCAAGTGTGCACAAAACTGGTATTCTGCCAAATAGATTTCACCAAAAAAAGTTTTCCAACCAAACTAACGTACATCAAGCAACCATCAGTTCAACTCTGGATTCCTTTCATGTTTCTGTTGGGTGGCTGATGTGAAATTTTCCCCACGTTGATCCTCTCCTCCTTGATGTGATAATAGTTCAGCCAAATGGGGCTGGCTTGTGAGGAATGAATGATATGATTCCACACCTCTTGGGGGCAATTCTGTAATTTACATGTCTGAAGGTAGGCCTGTTCTTCTGTGTATAGTAAGGTTTTTGGGTTTTCGGGAGAAATTTTTTGTGAAGAGTTTTCTATGTAACTCGATTCTCCAAGTGTAATATTTTGTAATGGAATCTCTCTTTGTCAATATAACCAATTATCATGTTATTTTCAGATGAACTTGATACTACTGTGAGACTATAGAAAAATATTCTTCTCCTAGTCTAGCTATTGGTACATGAGAATTTTTTTTGTTGGTTATTTCTTTTAAGATTTTTCTCGAGTACAGCATGCTCGAGGATTTGAATATTTGACCTCAAGAAAAACAAATAAATTTATTTACTATTGAGCTATGCTCATATTGACAGGAACATACCAAATTGAATCAAAGCGGACGAGGGTGATTCTTTTATTGATACTAAAATGAATTGAATTGTGACTATAAAATACTATATCTATTAATTGTAAGGTTGAATAATAATTAATAGGTTAAATAACAAGTTTAATCTCTAAACTTTTAAAGATTGTCTAACAAGTCCTTAAATTTTTAACATAGATTATGGATCTATAAAAACACACAATCAAAATTGAAAGTTTTTCAGTCAATTAAAGTCCAAATTGAAAGTTTGAAGAGTCAATTAAAGTCCAAAAAATCGTTAAATAAAATCATGAAAGATGGACTAAAACTGACTAATATAAATTCTACCATTACTTTAATCTTTTTTCACATCTCACAAGCTTTCACAAAGTTTCTATCATTTAAGATCCGTTTGATAATATTTTTTGTTTTTGCTTTTCTGTTTTTAATTTTTGGTTTTTGGTTTTTGATAACAATTTTTTGTTTTTTGTTTTTAAAAAATAGAAAACCAACATGTTTGGTAACCATTTTTAGTTTTCAATTTTTAAAAAGTTAGAAAATTGAAAAGATATATTAAAAATTCTATGTAGAGTAGATGACAGTGGTATGGGTGCAAGTAAATATGCTCTCAAATTTTTAATCCCAGTCTCCACCTCGTTCTTTAGTATGAGAGATGTTCTTGAAAAAAATTATCGATTTTATAATTGTTTTTAGAATTTAAAAAATAAAAAAGGTGTAATAAATATATATTAATTATTTAAAAATTGAATCGAGGACAGGGTCGGGACATGCATTTCCTATTTTTAGGATTCGATCCTGCGGAAAATTTTGTCATTTTAGAAAGATAAATAAAAAGATTTAGAAAAAAATTAGTGAAAGAAAAGTTAAAAAAAAAGAAAAATTTTAGATAAAAAAAAGTAAAGTAGAGGAAAAGATATATTAAAGGAAAAAAAAAGAAATTAGAAAGAAAGAGAAAAATTAGTGGAAAAAATTTAGAGATAAACAAGATTCAAAATATAATTTTTAGAAAAATAAATAAATACAAAGATAAATAAAAATTAGAGAAAAAAAAATTGAACAAGAAATGGTGATATAAATTTCACAGGAAAAAATAGATTAGGAAGAGAAAGAAAAGTTATAAAATGAAATTTTAGAGAGAAATGAAATTGATATGTTAAAAAAATAATAAAAAATAAAAAATATAAATACAAAGGGATGAAAAGTTGTAGAGAGATAAATAATAATAAACTTTCCAAATATGAAATTTTTAGAGAGAGAAATAAATTTTATAGAGAGAAATTTAGAAATAAAAAAAATGTGGAGTGAGAAAGAAATTTTTTAAAGATAAACAGGAGAGAAAAAAATTTAGTATTAGAAGAAAAATTTGGATTTTGAAAAAGAAACCTAGTTTTGAATTTTTTTTAATTTAAGTAGAATTTCAAAATGATTTTTGAAAGACAACAATCTTGTGTTTCAAAAACTAAAAACAAAAAACGAAATGGTTATCAAATGAGCTATTAGTTTTTCCATTAATATACTAGTTGATACTATCGTATTAAATATTCATCGACATTGACATTTTTATATATTTATGGATTTAACATCAAGGAATAAATCAATATTTTCATAGTATTACAAAAAAAAATTGACAAAATATAAAAAATATCAATAAAATATCACTAATAAAAAGGTAATATTAATATCAATTATTTTAAATTTATTTAGAAAACATGAAATACTTAATTTGTTAATTTAAATAGTTGTTACGAATTTTTTTATTTTTATAATTATTTAGAAAATATATATCGCATATTTCCATGATATAAGATCTCGACATTGAATTCACAAATCACAAGCATACCAAGCTTATTTTTTTGGGCCCCCAAAATCTATCCATCCATCATCAGAGAGATGGCCTTTTTCTCTCTCAAACTCCATCCAACGTCCAAGATCTTCTCTGCAATACGGAGTGGATAAAACCTGCAACTGCAACTTCCAAAACTTGCTCAAAACTCTGCCATGGCTTCCGTCTCCTGCACTGCCTCCATAAATTTCACCCCAACATGCTTCACTTCCCGTTCTTCCTCGAAAATGGGTTCCCGATTTCTTGGGTTTCATTCTAAGCTCGGTTGGACCGCGCCCATCGCCATTGGACCCTCCAATGGGTCTAGAGCTACGTGCTGGTTCAATTTTCGCCAAAATGCCGAAGGTGCCGGCATTTATGGCAGCCAGTCCCGAGATGACTTCAACAGAGACGATGTCGAGCAGGTTCTTTTTCTTTTACTGTCTTCTTTCTTCGGTTTTGTGTGATTATGGATTTCTGTTTCCTGTGATTATTGAAGCAATTTTTTTATTTAGTTTCATTGCTGATTTGAGGCTGATTCTGATGATCTGGAAGTTGAAAATGTGCCTTGTCGTTCTCTGTTTTTCTGCTGAGCTTGCAATTTCATATTATTTTTCTTTCTTATTGCTGAGCAAGAGGGTTTTATTTCTTTATAGTTTTATGATAATGTATGTAGGAAGATTTTGGGTTTTAGTGTGTTAGTCACCAATCTGAAAAGCTTGGAGCATGTTGAACAAAGCTATTGATTTTGGTTCTTTGTTTTTCAAATTTATACTTATTCACTAATCTTGTTTGCCAATTTTTTCAAACTAAAAAACAGTTTTCAAAGATGCATTTCTTAACCAAAGTTTCAGAAGTGTTCTTAACAATAAAAAACTGAATAAAGAAAATATAAGTGTAAATAGTTTTGCTCATCTTAACAGGCCCTTTGAGATTTGGATATTGATCACAAGGATACTGTGAAATTAGAAGGAAATCTGTGGAGTTGTTGTAGTTTGAATGTTATTGCCATTGGAGGGATTAGATATGACAAGAAAATTCCAATTTGGCATAACTCAAGAATTTTTTAACCACTCCTTAGTGAATGAAGCCAGCGGAAGGGATTTGAAGTGATGGCAGAGTGTCTACTTTGGTTAAAATTAGAATGCCCTTTGTGGTACTGATATTAGAATATTGTGAGGGAGGGGACCTCAAACTTGTGCAGCCAAATGCTTGTGTGAAAAGTGCTTAGAACTTTCTACTTTCCCTCAAACAAATTTCTTGATTTGCTGTATGTAAGGTAAGAAACTAAAGTATTTCTTCATCCCCGTGTCTCCTTTTGCTTTGGAAATGTGTTGAGTCATAACCTTAGTATGTAATGAGACGAGAACAATACACAATATGAAAGAAAACCCTTAAAAACAGTGGCTTGATTTGACTCGAATTGCACTGGTCAGGACTTGAGACGACTCAAATTATATCATCAAAAGCTGATACGTAGGAGAATCTATTTTGATCTTCTTATTCAATTGTTCATGGTTGGTAAATTTAACTAATGTCTGCTAACTTGCATGCTGTTAAGTCAGCAACTTTTTGTCCATCTGCATACTCTTATAAAAATTGTGTTTACTTTTCAAAATTATTTTAATGTCTGCTATAGATCTGATCTGATTTGAGCCAAACCATTGTATTGTATGTGTCTCAATACTCTCCAAATCAATAGCTGATACCGTGACTTTGAGTCATGATCTCGACATCATCCTTAAATGAAGTTTCGGTTTTTCTAGAAGAAAAGAAAGAAAGAGGATTAACAAGTAAACATTTGGTTGTGCAGTATTTTAACTACATGGGAATGCTGGCTGTGGAGGGTACATATGACAAAATGGAGGCTCTTTTGAGCCAAGACATTCACCCAGTGGACATTTTGCTGATGCTGGCTGCATCAGAAGGGGACAAACCAAAGCTTGAAGAACTATTGAGAGCTGGAGCTACTTATGATGTGAAAGATGTGGATGGACGAACTGCCATTGATAGGGCACCCAGTGAAGAAATCAAAGATTTTATTCTTAATTTTGCTGTTAAGAAAGCATAATTTGGTCTCTCCTTGTTCTTCTTTGGTTTGTTTTTGGGGAGTGGCTATATTTTGATAGGTTTAGAAAGAGGTTTTAAAGATTTGTATTCCACTAATGTTAAATCATATTGTATTTAAATGACACACCTATTTTAATCCATTAGGAAATGGCTTCTAAATTTAAAGTCTTATTTATAAGTGTTTCTATTTCATGTTTTCCACTTTTTTATATATACTAATTTCTTCTGAGTTATTTCTCAAAAAAAAAAAAAAAAATTTCTTCTGAGGTTTTCAATGAAGTCAACTTTTTGATATTTTCTATGTAGTTTATTAGCATGATAAAGTATAAATTATTAGACATCCTCATTCATAAAAATTAGCAATATAAATTAAACAAAAATTGAGAATGTTATCCAGTAGGCTCTAAATCATCTATACAAAATTGTAGCTAACTTAATGGTTCAAGGTTTCAACTTGTTTTCAAGCTCAATATAACCCTACAAAAATTTTACTGCACAGCTTGTTAAAATTTATGAATAAATACTATTGGACAATTTGACATTGAAAATAAAATATATGCTTTTGCAAAAAAATTTAACTGCTTGCTAAAATACTCTGCTAGAACAGACTACTTTTGGCTCCCCCACCTGTGAGCAAAGTGAAAAATTGATCCTCCTCTAACTCACTATCAACTTTTGTTTCATTGAATTGAATTCCAACTGCACTAGACGCAATCGGTTTCGGATTTTTCACTGAAACAAATGCTGGTCTCTTTGAGTCCGATTTTTTCGCACCAACTGAGGAGGGGCTTGAGTTCATGAGCAAACTACCTTCTTGGGGCAACAATGTCTTGCTCGAGGTCTCCGCAGGACAGACCGAACCGTCTCTTGTTGTGGTATTATCTTCCTTGGAGAGGCTTGCTAGCAAGTCATTCTTACTCATTTTCATAAGGTCAACACCTTCAATGCTTTGATTTGCATCTGCCTGCTTGATATCAGATTCATCATCTACACCCAAAATGAAGCAATACAGTAAGGAAGCAAACTTGGGTTTATTTTCTTTTTGAGATGAGACGAAACTAAGATCAAGACTGCATACAAAGAATTGAAATCTTACCTTCAAGAAAAGATTCAATGCTCTGATATCGTACAGCTGAGGTGGCCGAAGAAACACTTGGTCCAGGATGTTCTTCCCAATTCCTAGTCTCAATTTTTTGTTTCGTCTCTTGCAACACAAATTTGTCTTCTTTCCAAACACATTCTAATAAGACAAATTCATCATTTGTTGGGAAGAATTCTCGAAAGACCTGTAAATAGATTTGAAAATAATTTTAAAACTTCTACTTTTTGAAGAGAAAATTAGAAAGGAAGGGAAGAGTGGAGCACGTATACCTCAATTCCTTCCTGGTTTATTCTAACTATATGTTTCTTTTGCGAGATAGATGAAACCATGTTGAATACCGAAACGACATTGAGTAATATCTATACAACAAGAAAAAGGAAAAACAAATGCTCAATGGAAATGCAAACCTCATTCTCATAAGCATAGAGGAACTCAAAGTCTGACAATAGTAATTTTTGTTACAATGTCCGTTGCAGAATAATCACAATGTATGGTCAACTAGTCATGCAAATAAAATCCTAAAAATATTTGCAAGCATACAGTTCTTAAGAAAATTCTAACCTTGACCATTGTCAGCAGGTCCCCCCACCTATTACTTAACCAAGAAATATTTCATTTCCTAAAGACTAGGATTCAAAAACTTTCCCCATCCCTTGAATGAGAGATTCAGCCATCGCTTTTCAGGAAAATGAAATCAGTGATCAGTCAACCGATATACTCGAATACAAAATGCCTTCTGCTTCTCTTAAATATTAAATAATAAAAATGGAACTTACTTGTTGAACTAACACCCGAATCCGCGCCAGTAATGCCAAAATCATAAAACAAAAGCCTGTGAAAAACATTCGAGCAAGCAATATAGATATCTCGCTGTTAAATAGTCAAGGGTGACATTTTGCATAATGCATTTCTGCAAATTAGTTTCCATGATCCAACAACAAATAGCTCTAGCTAAGAAGAAATCATGTCAAAATAACTGTCACTTATGCAGAGAAGTACTAAACAATTGTGCATGATACAAAACATTGGTATTATATACAATAATCTCTAGTGCATCAGGCGGAAGATTTTAAATGCACCAAATTAAAAGCAACGATGAAAATATTAAGAGGCAGAAACTGAAAACAAGGCACTCATTTCACATAACTACCATCTAGTGGGGATCCATCGTCACGTGCAAAATGCAACAAAGATGTAAAAATGAAAAGTAGGCTGGTGCAAGAATCCAAAACAATGAAATATATCGGTATGATAAAAAACCTTTTCACACGCAAATGTCTATAAAAATTGAAAGATGCTGAGATGGTTTGCTGCAGAAATACAAGTTAACAACTTCACATTTTCTATCAAGTAAAACATGAAGTTACATATTGTATTTTCTTGTCAACGAGCTTTTCATGGATAAGTTAACCAAGTAAAATAAGCTAGCTTTCATACATAAAACTGTGTAATGCAGGGCTTGCTAATTGAATAGCTATTGAAGAACTCCATCGAAACACCATTTTAAAGATTCACATGGAAACTATAGTGAATTTGAGCAAATAGAAAGCAGCAAGCAAAACCAACAGAGCCATAGTGCATTGTACCAATAGATAAAAAAGGATACGTAGCTGCCTTGAAAATTGGCTCTACCATCTGCAAGAGATTTGGAAAAACATCCAATCACTACTTTGGGACGAGGTGCAATCCATGAAATAAAGTGAAAATGATTTGTCCTCTTTGGAGTAATTTTCCCGTAACTTCAGGATCAGGCCCCACTATGGTCCTATTAACAAGAATAACTCTTCATTGACCTCTTATGAAGATAGTTGATGGACATTATTTATAGAAAAAAAGCCCAACTACTAGAAAACCAGTTTTTATGAGTGAAAATAGAACGTTTTACATTGAGGAAAATAGTTTTAGTTAAATGAATCTATATCCTTTTTTTTTTCAATTGAAACATAAACAAATAGAAGGGGAATAGAAGTTTTATATAAATGCCCCTAACTAGTCATACAAAGAAGAAAAACTCAAGGGAAAGATCACCTCTGACAGTAACCGTGCAGCCCCCAGAAGCCGTTCCATGAAATTATATTTCCCAACTTCACATTTCCTCCGTTTCAAACTGTAATAAAATGGAAAGTCCAAGCGGAAGATCAAAGGAACAATATATCTCACTTAGTCTAGACATTCTCTTTTTATATTCCTTGGACAGAAAATCCACAGGGAGAAGGAATTCAAAATCTAATACCTTTCTAAAAGATGAATCTTTTGCTTAGGTTTCTTTCCATCGATAACTTGAAAGCAGGAACTTACCAACTCCTCCAACTTGGTAGCCTGTAGAAGTCTTAAATCTCTCCTTACCTAAAAATGTATAGAAGCAAGACAAAATTACAGTCAATGGCAAAAGCCTCAAATTCTTCATGCAACAATTAATGAGCTATCACACAAACTAAACTACAGATGACATCTTGTTTCTGAATCTTAGTGTCCACTTTTCTTCCAACTGGTGTAATCAACATGAACATGTATCTACATAAACTAACATATATATTTATAATCTACCCAAAAAAACACATATACAGTAAAGCAAAATTTGACTACTCTTTTAGAAAAAACCCATGTATTTCTCTTCTTTCAGTTAAGTTTTCTACTCTCAACCATAACAGAAAGCTCCATTAGAAGGGGGAAAAATGAAAACCTGCAAAAGATAACGAAAATAGGAACTCCGGCGGTGCTGGTTCTTATTCTTATAAATCATTTTGTGTAGAATGCCACTTTCTAAGTGGAGCTGGCCAAGCAAAGATGCCAACTTCTCCTCAAGGTTCTCAGCATCAGAAGCAGCCATGGAATCTCCAGAAAAATTAGTTATTAGAAAACCAAAACCTAAGAAATACAAACACGAATTCAAATTAATGCTAGCTGCAGGGTTGTAATGTTAAAGTTGGTTGTACATGATTTACACATCCCGGTAAAAACGCACATCTCACCTCTTGCAAATTTTTTGTCACATTGTTGGCATTGGATTGAAACACAAACAATTTTCACATGCTGTGAAATGATACTGATTTGACTATAAATCAATGTGATTCAAATTAAACTTTGAATATGAAAGCGTGATTAGTGCCAAATTTGAATTGAGTTTCAAGCCATACCGATATGTTCCAAATACCTTGAAATAAATCAAAAGAGTCAAAGAAAAAGAAAAAGAAAAAGAAAGACAAGGCCAATGACTACTCAACATTATGTTTTCTTGCAATATATTGTCATGTATTGTAATGCCAAAATCAAGCAACAAATCATGGAAGCACAAGTTACAAGCCACTGAACAACACCGATACATGCCAAATACCTTGAAATAAATCAAAAGAGTCAAAAGAAAACCAAAAATATACAAGGCCAATGACTACTCAACATTCTTTTCCATTTTTCTTACAATATATTGCAGTGTAGTGCAATGCTAGAATCAAACAAAAAATCATGGAAGCACAAGCTTCAAGTCATTGAATAACACCAATATGTCCCAAATCCTTGAAATAACTACTTAAGCCATTTAGTTTTTTTTCTTGCAATAGATTCCAATGTATTACAATGCAATAATCAAGCAAAAAATCATGGAAGCAGAAGTTTCAAGCTATTGAATAGCACCAATACATTCCAAATGCCTTGAAATAAATAAAAATGGTCAAAGGGAAACAAAAAATTGTTGAATTAGTTAGAAGTTAAGATTATGTGGACTTAGTTAGAAGTTGTTTTAAAGTTGTTTAGATTTTGTGTTTAAATTTAGCAAATAAATCTCCTTTTTTGTTAAGGAAGTTAGGAGGTTATTCCTAGATTTTGTTTCCTCTTGTAACCTATAAATAGTGTCTCTATTCCTCATCTTTGATCAATCAATTTGAGAATTTATTTCTTCTCTCTTTTCTCGTGTATGTCTCTCTGGTGTCTCTATCCTTAGTTTTTATGGTATCAGAGCTAGGTTTAGA